ATGAAAAGAAGAAGAAGAAGAAGAAGAATGAAAAGAAGAGGAAGAAGAAGAAGAATGAAAAGAAGAATGAAAAGAAGAAGAAGAAGAATGAAAAGAAGAAGAGAAGAAGAAGTAGGATGAGGATGAAGAAGAAGAAGTAGGATGAGGATGAAGAAGAATTCCATTTCCAGCAAAAAGTGTATCTGCAGAGAGCTCTGCTATTTCTGACAGTTCTCTGACAGTTCCTTCACATTTACAGTGGTTGAAACATTGTATCTATTTGTTTCCGAATAAAAACATCTGTATCCTAAATGGAAACAAATAGATACAATGTTTCAACTGCTGTAAATGTGAAGGAACTGTCAGAGAACTGTCAGAAATAGCGGAGCTCTCTGCAGGGACACTTTTTGCCGGCTGTAGAAGGGATGAAAATCGGCGGATCGGGGAAAATTCGATTCGTGCATCCGAAGTTTGCTAATATTCGGATTCGACGCGAATCAAATTTTTCCTAATATTCGAAACGAATTCCACTTCGCCAGGTTCGATTCGCTCATCTCTAATTATGTTATTGCTCACTGAAAAGGTAAATTGACAGCTTTCTAATTTAAAGTATTGTTTTTGTTCTCCTTTTAGATAGTTTAGAATGTTTGACAAAAGGTTCAACTTGGTGGACACATAAAACTGAACTGCAGGCTAAATGCACAACTAGAATATATACAGTAAATGTTATCAGAAATTATGGAAGAAATAATCCAACTAACAAGGTATGAAGATCAAATGTCCATGTATCATATTGACCATATGCCATACTTGATAATGCAGAAAGTAAATATGCCCATACTCTTAAATATAACAAACTTTTAAGAAACAAGGTGCCACAAAAATCAAATGGCAAACATGTCTGTGGTTTTGAAAACAATCTGAAGTCTTTGGAAATACAAGCTTTATTAATATTAATTGACCTTTGTACTATCAGGGATGCCTAAAACACAGCAAATCTAAGGCATGGAATGTCAGGTTTAAAATTTGATCATTATTGCAATATTTTGCCAGTCTCAGCTAGCAATACAAAGATATACTCCTACTGGACAGTGTCAGTAAATATATAATGTCAATACCTGATAGAATTAACCGGGACCTATGCAATAGTCTTACATGCCTTACCAGAAGATGGCCTTACATACATATGTTATGGTAAAAGAATGTACAGTTCAATATCAGCAATTTACACTGTAGGTTGTGCCAAACACAGCAAAATGATCTAGATCCAAACCACTGACATCCTAACTGTCATGATTTTTACTTATCTTTGCATAATAATATATGGTGGTGGTGGAGAGGAAGAATAGTACAAGCATTTAAATTCTATTGCTTTGGGCATAACACAGTCAGGGTAATACTATGAAGTGTGTTACATTAAGCAAGCATAGCCAATGATAAGCTATTTATGTGTGGATGATGCTATACTACTAACTGCAAGGGTATGGGAACACTCTTACAACAAAGCAATGTTTCTCTTATGGACAATTAAGAACTAATACCAGTTCTGCAATTTTAGAAAGTTGTAAACTGAATTTATAACTATTTTTATTTTAGATATGTTTCTCCTTAGGAGGATATTGATAATGATTATATATATATATATATATACTATATATATATATATATATATATATAATGTGTCTTTACCACCGTAGAAAAAAACATACTTTCCTATTGCTTTCCTTATAAACAGCACTTGTGATCTAACACTCACAAATGTGTTATGAAATGATCTATTTCAGTAGTGAATTAACTGTGCACAGCAAGCAAACAATGCATGAAATGTATGGTGTTCACATATACACAGGCATACATCAAGATAACGTACCACAGAGATGGGCTTACAGATGGTGTTGCAATAAACTCCTGCAGGGGTGCTTCTAGATGCATGAGTCTTTCCGTTCTACATTCTATAAATACATCTATGGAACAATGACTAAACTGTATCTGTTCAGGTAAATAGTGTAGAAAAAACATTGTTTGTGACAGGTTACTCCAGCTTTTTTCAACCAGGGTGTCTTCAGGCTTCTTCAGGGGTGCCTTGGCAAAATGTTAAAAATTGTCCAAAAACTTGTATACAATCCAGCAGGTGGATCAAGCCTGCCTTTTAGTTATGCAAAGCCCACAGGTTTTCATGGTGAACAATTAAAACTTTCTAGCTGCTGGTGACATTGTAGCAATCGTGCCCACAGTGAATGGACGCAGGACCTCCATTTTGTTAAGAATTTTCCATGTTGTCTCACCTCTCTCCCTCCCAAACCAGGCTTTCTTCCTCCAATAATCCCCCTCTCTCGCTGTTGAGTGCATGTGGTGATAAACAGAGGTCACAGGCAAACCAGGCACAGCAGGAGTGCTCCGAGCCATAAAAACCCCAATGGAGCTGGGGCCTAGCTGTCTGGTCGCTGTGCAATCTGGGATATCGTAAAAAGTCCTTCACGGGAGTTCAAAGACATTCCAGAGAAGGCATAAAACAAGACACCACATTCAACATCTATTTTCCCCTATGATTTCTTATCTTGGAATATGAGAGACTTACATAAAAACCAGGCATATTGTCTGATTGGCCAAGTTAATACAAATCGTTGGTATATTTACCTTCCCTAGCTGGCATATATAGGAGGGCAGGAAAGTATATCTCCTGAACCATTCAAGTGTATATGACATGTTTCACCTCTAACCATTCCACAGATGCGGCTGAGTATTAATTATACTAGTGCCCAGGCTGCCAAATTCCCGAGAATGAGTTATGAATCATAATAGCAGCTATGAGAGTTTCTAGTCATAACTTAGGGCGCTGCCTACACCTCCCTCCCAAAAGAAGACGATTGGGTTTACTGCTCCAGAGAGACACCCTTTGGATTTGCTAGAAAAGCTAGGCTGAGTTGAGCTGTGAGACAGAAGAGAAGAGTCTCCTGTGTTTTTAACATCGAAACTGACAGTGAGAGACAAGAAAAATCCTTTTGGGCTCATAAGACTGGTAACTGCTTAAACCAAGGCTGACTGGCAAGTACTTTAACCCTTTAAACTCCTTTCTGTTATCTCTTGGCTACATCTTTTTCTGTAAATATTTTTATTGCACCCTTTTGACCTTTTAGTAATAAATCTTACTTTCTGAAAGTGTTGAACTGTTTCTAAAGCTCTTTAATGTAAATTACGAATTCCTGCCACTGAAGAGCGCTACTGTGTGTGTTTAACCCTCTGTATAACTGCCTGTGACAGTGGTATACAGACGAATATTTCAACCATCATAGTGTTATTGCTGATATTGCCGAGTTTCCTCTTTCTCGGTACAAAAAAGGAGGTGGTGGCAGTGTGAAGGGTAATTGGTAATTAACCTGACCTAGTAACAATCACGCTCAGGTTGCCGGTACATCGATTGTGGTCCAGTGAGCTGGAAAATCTTTGTGCAGGGTGCAGTTGGGCGTGGCATTGTTAAGCAAGTGACATCACGGTTTTAGATTGGCTAGTCCTTTGGTCACAAGTTTGGTGAGAAGGGCTGGGGTCTGACGCCGCGATCGTCACAGACATGACCAATGATGTCATCAGTAAGGACATTGGGCACCTGCACAGCATACTTGCTGATGACATCATTGGTCATGTCCAGAGAAACTATGGGAGAAGAGAAACATTGAAATACTAGTCAGTACCAGTGTGCAAAGGTCTATTTGCTTTGGAAAATTAAATCACCTCTAACATGTAGCTGCGTTCAGTAAAACTATTAATTTAGTTTTTTACATTTTGTAATGGGTGCCTCAAGACTGTGCAGAATTTTAAAGGGTGCCTTGACTGAAAAAAGGTTGAGACACACTGGGTTACTCATACACGGGAAAGGTAAAGTAAACAGGGGTAGATGATCCCCGTATTATGAAGCTGAGTTATTTGTAAGCCTAGGCCTCATGCACACAAAGGCATTTGCACATCTCTCCTAGAAACCTTTCCTCCTTGCAGCAGCGTTTTGGCCAAAAAAAAACGCTTGACAATTGTACACAAGTATAAAGTATGTGTCTTTTATGTCTGTTTGTGTTGCCATTGAAGAATTCTGCCCAATTCATGTCTGCTAAAACATTTCCAACAGTACAGGAAGTGAGGAGTCTTGAATAGCATAAAAATCCTGACAAAGATTACAACCCTTACAGACTCTCAGTGCTGGCTGGACATACACATTTACTTAAAGTTTTTGTTTTTTTTTTAATAACAAACATGTCCTAATTACCTGCTCTGTGCATGGTTTTGTACAGAGCAGCCCTGATCTTCCTCTTCTGGGGTCCCTTGCTGTCACTCCTGGCTCCTCCTCTCCTTTGTGTGCCACTATAGGAAGCCACTTCCTATGGTGGCACATGTAGTGGTGTATTTTGGTTTTGTGCTGCCCTAGGCAAGACTAAAATGGGGTGCCCCCCCCTATCTAAATTTGTTTCCCAACCCTTACTGTTTAAGATCCACCCCCTTAATCTGTAAACTTCACCCCTTCTTCTTTAGGTTCCACCTCAGGAGGTCAGAAACTGCAGACCTAGTACAGGAGATGGTCAGAGACTGTAGATTTAGTACAGGAGATGGCCAGAGACTGCATGTATACTACAGGAGATGGTCAGAGACTGCACATATACTACAGGAGATGGTCAGAGACTGCAGACATACTGCAGGAGATGGTCAGAGACTGCGAACATACTGCCGGGAGATGGTCAGAGACTGCATACCTACTACAGGAGATGGTCAGAGACTGCGAACATACTGCGGAGATGGTCAGAGACTGCATACCTACTACAGGAGATGGTCAGAGACTGCGAACATACTGCCGGAGATGGTCAGAGACTGCATACATACTACAGGAGATGGTCAGAGACTGCACATATACTACAGGAGATGGTCAGAGACTGCACATATACTACAGGAGATGGCCAGAGACTGCACATATACTACAGGAGATGGCCAGAGACTGCACATATACTACAGGAGATGGTCAGAGACTGTACATATACCACAGGAGATGGTCAGAGACTGCAGACATACTGCAGGAGATGGTCAGAGACTGCATACCTACTACAGGAGATGGTCAGAGACTGCAAACATACTGCAGGAGATGGTCAGAGACTGCATACCTACTACAGGAGATGGTCAGAGACTGCGAACATACTGCAGGAGATGGTCAGAGACTGCATACCTTACTACAGGAGATGGTCAGAGACTGCGAACATACTGCAGGAGATGGTCATAGACTGCATACCTACTACAGGAGATGGTCAGAGACTGCGGACATACTGCAGGAGATGGTCAGAGACTGCATACCTGCTACAGGAGATGGTCAGAGACTGCTGACCTACTACAGGAGATAGTCAGAGACTGCAAACCTACTACAGGAGATGGTCAGGGACTACAGACATACTACAGGAGATGATCAGAAACTGTGGACAGGATACAGGAGTCTGCAGACAGGATTCAGGAGTCTGCAGACAAGATACGGGAGGCTGAGGACAGGATACGGGAGACTGCGGACAGGATACAGGAGCCCTGCCGAGCCCTCCTGCCCTGCTGAGCCCTGGTCCCTTGTCCCTTCTGCCTGTACCCTACTTCCTCATCACTGGTTTTGATTGACAGCAGCAGGAGCCAATGGCTCCCTCTGCTCTCATGGAATCCAGTGAAGAGGGACAGAGAAAGCAGTTCCGCTGATGTTGACAGTAGAAGGGTTTTTACCCTAATACAGAGCATGCTTTAAGGTAAGGTAAAAAAAATACCTTCAGCCTTTACATCCACTTTAATTATTTTCTGAAGTTTACACTGTCTTTAGTTTAGAGGAGTAGAAAATGTTCACTTAACATAGCTACTGTTTATTTAGTTCAGTGAATAAATTGAAGCTTTTGTTATTTTAAATTAAATCCATTTATGTGCTTGGCATAGTGCTAAGTATTTTTTTTTTAATAAAGCATGCACACATTTTTAGATATATTGAAGTGGCAAATTATTCTGGTCAAGTTGTGTTTAATTTTTTAACGTGGCCACCATTTATTATTATTATTCAGAATTTGTATAGTGACAGCAGTTTGTACAGCACTTTGCAATATAAGGGAGACTGCACAGTTACAATACAATTCAATACATGAGGGTAAGGAGGGCACTGCTCATGAGAGCTTACAATGTAATAGGGAGGGTTATGAGGTACAAAAGGTAACAGCTGTGAAAGATGAGTTGGTTGAAGAATTAAAAGTTCAGTTCTTAGGCGGAGGTGGGATAGGCTTCCCTGAAGAGATGAGTTTTCAGGGATTGTATGAAGGTAAACAGAGTAGGAGATAGCTGGACATATTGAGGTAGAGAGTTTCAGAGGATGAGAGTGGTTCTGGAGAAGCCCTGGAGGTGAGAATGGGAGGAAGAGACAAGGGAGCTAGAGAACAGGAAATCTTGAGAGGACAGTTTGGGTGGTATATTAAGACAATGTTGGTGATAAATTGATGGAAATTGACAGCGCCATATAAGTACCTTAAATAAATAAATAAATGTACAAAAAAATATTTAAAAAAAAAAAAAATATCTTTGTGGCGCATGCATCCCCATATGTCGGAGGAGATGGATGAAGCATGTCAGGGATAGGCTGTGTGGCAACTGGGGGTGACGCGGGGGCGTCTGAGAGTGAGGGCCGGCGGTGGTAAGAGCACTGTTCGGTCTATTCTCTCTTTAATATTAGAGATATAAACATCTTTGGGCTGGATTCGTTTTAAATTCTTGTAAGTAGCACTCTTTAGTGGAGAATAACACATTTAAGAGTTACTGCACCATGTGGGGTTTCCGTTTTTTTATCTCCTATGTGATATATGACTGGAGTATTGGAGGGAAGCTTCTTTTAACCCTGGAGATTGGGAACGGTCATTATAGAAGTCCAGTACTGCAGCCTGAGGGGAGATCTGGTCCCTGGAGAAATATATACCTAAGCTCAATATGCCAACCATGAGAGTGAGAGGCAATACGTTTTGATGAGTGCACACCTGAGAGGGGGGCACCACACAGATTTATATTTTGTTTTTGGAGCAATTATTCACGTGTTGATTATTGGATTATTGGATGATCAAAGTGACTTATTTTGATGAACTCTATATGATTTTTTCACATGGTGATCACAGGAATAGACTGAATTATTTGGACTTTTACATATAAATTTTTTTGTTTGCTAAAAAATTTTTTTTGTTTGATATTTTATTAATGAATTTGTATTAATTAATATTGATGTATGCGCCTTAAACATATTTTTTTCTTTAAATATGTTTTTGCATATGTTTAATAATTCAATGTGGCAGCAGGATATTCTTGACATAATTACTGTATATGAGTGATTTTTATATATTTTTTAGCACAATTTTCACATTAATTGATGGTTTTTATATTATTGGGAATTTCACTTATATTTTAGCACAGTTTTTTGAGGGATTTTTACACCATCTTTTGGATACACAATGTTGTTGGTGATGTAGCAGGGGGCAGAGTTGTAAATTACTTTATGTTGTGGTAAGCATTTTGAATTTTATTTGTTGGGTAACTGGAAGCCAGTGAAATGATTGGCAAAGAGGGGTGATGGACACTGAGCAAATAGTAAGGTAAAAGAGTTTGGCAGCAGGAAAGGGGATAGTCTGTATAAACATAGGACTATGAAGAAGGCAGCTGCAATAGTCAAGACAAGAGATAACCAGGACTGGTGAAAGAGGAGGGCAGAATCTAGGATTATACGTAGTACCTTGGTGAAGGGGAAGGACTGATTATTAGTTTGTTAATCTTGAAAGAAAAGTCTGAGATGAGGGCACAGACTTGGTTGGGGCTCAGTTTTAGAGAGATTTAATGTTTGGAAGTGGTACAACAACCATGCTGATATAATGTTTAGTAAGTAAGCAATGAGAGGAGACTGAGGGGGTGAGGTGAGGGTTGAGGAGTAGTAGAGAGATTGATTTGGGTGTCCTCAGCACATTGTGTTATTGGAAGCTGTGGGAGGTTACATAGTTACATGGTTAGTCTGGCTGAAAAAAGACAAATGTCCATCCAGTTCAACCATTGCAAAAAAACAATAAATTCTAATCCCATACCCACAGTTGATCCAGAGGAAGGCAAAAAAAAACCCCAGCAAAGCATGATCCAATTTTCTCCTGCAGGGGAAAAAATGCCTTCCTGATCCCCCTAGGGGCAATCATAAATTCCCTGGATCAACTTTACCTATAAATGTTAGTATCCAGTTATATCATGTGTATCTAGGAAAGAATCCAGGCCTTTTTTAAAGCAATCCACTGAGCTGGCCAGAACCAACTCTTGAAGGAGTCTATTCCACCTTTTCACAGCTCTTAATATGAAGAAATCTTTCAAGTTTAGAAGACACAGTGGCGAGAAACACCACGGCATGCTAGACTATCTGCAACCAAGCTTCTCACCACACCTGTACACCACTCCATTTACCTCCCTAAAATGCCTCCTCCATTCCTCCTCCTCATCATACTCCTCTCCTCCGTTCCCAAAATCTCTTCTCTATATCCCTTTCCTCCTCCCAAACAACAGTACATTGTGCCCTCACTGCTTCCTTCTCCCCTCTACGGCACTCACCACCTCCTCCTAATACTCCATTCTCCCACTGACCCGACCACCTCCACTGGTAGACTTACACGCTCGTGCACATCCTACTCCCATGCCACCTTCCTCACCCTTCTTCTTCTCCTAACCGCGGGGGACATCTCCCCAAACCCTGACCCTCCACCACCTAGCTCACCCACAAGGCACCCTCCCACTTCCACGTCCTGCTGCAACCCCCTCAACCTAGTACCTGTCCCTCTGCTCCCCAAAACCACCCCCCCGTTTTCGAGTGCACTCCTGAATGCCCGATTTGCAACAAGCTCAACGCCATCCACGACCTCTTTGTTTCCTGCTCCCTCAACCTCCTAGCAATCACGGAAACCTGGATCCAAGCCACTGACTCTACTTCCCCTGCAGCACACTCTCCTATGGAGGTCTCATCTGGACCCACTCAACCAGACCCAAACGGTCGAAAAGGTGGTGGGGTTGGCTTGCTCCTGTCACTGCTGAGCACCTTCCGAGTCCTCCCAACCCCCCCCCCCCTATCCTTCTCCTCCTTTGAGGCCCACTACATCTGACTTTTCTCTCCAACCCCCCTGAGGATTGCTGTAATCTACCGGCCTCCTGGACCCGTATCCCGCTTACTTGATGACTTCTCCGCCTGGCTACCCTTCTTTCTCTCTTCTGAGCTACCCACCATCATCCTTGGAGACCTCAACATCCCTGTCAACATCAATAACCCGGCTAAATCCCAATTCCTCCACTTAACCTCCTCTTTTGCACTTGCACAATGCATACAATCCACCACCCACTCCGACGGTAACATCCTGGACCTTGTCTTCTCCCATCTCTGCACTCCCCACAACCTCACAAACACCCCCTTCCCTCTCTCTGACCACAACCTTATTACCTTCTCTGTCTCCTCATCCTCAAACACCTACCCCTCCAAATGTCAAACTATTACCAACCAAAACCTCCGCAACCTGAACCCTACCCCCTTCTACTCTGCAGCTGATCAACTTTACAACAGCATCCTTCCCCTGTCCTGCCCCGACCTGGCCACGACTGCCTATAGCAACTCGCTGTCAACCGCTTTAGACTCGCTAGTGCCTTTAACCACACGAAGCATCAGACCCCGACTGCTTTAGCCCTGGCAGACTGATTATACCAAAACTCTCAAACGACGCAGTCCTGCGCTGGAGTGACTATGGCGAAAACCAGATCCCAACTAGCGTTCACCCATTATAAATCTGCCTTCTACACCTACACCTCCTCCCTCCACGCTGCCAAACAAGCCTACTTTCTGACCCTCATCTATACCCTCTCCTCCAATCCTCGCCGGCTCTTCTCTACTTTCAACTTTCTACTCTCTCCGCCCCCACCTCCACCCAGTACCTCACTCACCGCCCTCAAGATTGCCAATCACTTCAAAAACAAGATGGACACAATTCGCAGGGACATCGCCACTGCTCAGACTTCCACCCCACCTATCACCTCTCACACGGTAACCCCCTCAACACCCCTCTCCCTTGGCCTCACCACTGTCCAGACCCCCACCCCACCTAACATCCCTCACACTGAAGCCCCCTCAACACTCCACTCCTTCGACCTTACTACCACTGAGGAGGTCACTAAGGTCTTCTCTGAAGACCGCCTCACCTTCCTCCTCGACCCTGTCCCCTCACAACTCCTACGATCTCCCTCCTCCATCCTACGCTTCCTCACCCACATCTTTAACCTCTCCCTCTCTTCTGGCGCATTCCCCTCCCCTCTGAAGCATGCACACATCACTCCCATACATAAAAT